TGCTGTACCTTAATTAAACATATAATGTGTTTATCATCAATAATAAAGATATTATAAAATTGAATGTTACTATGTCTGAAATTTTTCAAGATCAAAAAGGTCACATTTTGTGTTAAACAGCAATATGCAATATTTATGACTCTTCACAACTGGCTTTCCTTCATGTTTGCCTGCTCTTCCAGGCTTCCCTGCTCATCCTTGAAGACTCTTTGCAGAGCAACCTTGTAAGATGCTCTGGGCTGACCCTTTCCCCTCTTCTTCCTCCCCACTAAGAAATAAAGGAGTGGGTTGATGCTGCTGTTGAGAATGGCACATTCTATCCCAATGGTCATGAGGAGGAGATTATGTCTATCAAAATATTCCATGGCATAAAAGACATTCATTGGGAGAGAAAGCAGGAGGAAGCAAAGGAGAGCCAGAAAGATGGTGGTGAGAAGCTTCCTTTGATTGCGTTGCATTTTAGACCTTATGTAAAATGAGAGAGTCACCGTAGACGCAACCATGAGAGGTGTGCAAAGTAAACCATTGACAATCAGCTGGTGAACCAAAGGTGACTTTCCAATAGTCCTGGTCTGATGGAGAATGAAGTGCACCGCAGAGAGCAGGAAGGAGAGGATCCAGATGAGGACACAAACAAGAGTAGGCAAATATGGAGGACGATGGCAGCGATGCCAGAGAGGGAAGAGGACAGCAACGCACCTGTCCAGGCTGATGGCCGTCAGCAGAAACTGGCTGGCAGAATAGGTGAAGAAAAAGAACTCAAAAAGTAAGAAGAAAAAGACATCGAGAGTGTATGTTCTGTGACTCAGAGTAGACACTGACACAAATATAGCTGCAGTAATGAGGGATGTGAGGACCCCAAAATCAGCGATGGAGAGATTCAGGATGAAGGTGGTGAAAGGATTCCTCTTAATGGAAAAGGCCAGGAGGTGAATTGTCCTTCCGTTTCCCAGCAGGCCCAAAATGCAAATAAGGGCAATGAAGCCATTGAGAAGGTTTTGTGTTACATTATCAAACAGTTGGTCATAAGGAGAAGAAAACAGTTCTGGTATTTTGGAAACATTTGAAGCAGTTCCATTAGTATTGAAAGGGAGGTCAACTGGTTCATATCCACTCCCAGGATTTAGAAGAGGTTCAAAATCATTCTGTATCCTAATAACACAAAGAAACAAAGAGAGAATCAGTCCTTGGTAGTGAAATACATACGTACTGTAGGAAGTCTCACCCCTTTCCCAGATTAAAATACTCTTTATTCTTAAAATTAGGAAGAGGCAGAATATTTTGTATCATAATTTACTTACACGTGTATTCCGTGTACCACAGCAGGCACGTTCTGTTGTATTATTGTGTTTGATCCACTACCTACAGACGCAATTATAGTAAGTCATTATTTTGATCAATAACACCAGGCAGCAAAAATGCTGGTGTGCTTTAGAAACTCCATCCATACATTTTTCTTTCTCCCTGAATGGGAATCTGTGAATGTATAAATAAAATAATCTCCAGTAGTTTTTTTTTTTATTGCTGTCATTGCTCAGATGGTGATTAGACAATAAGCAGTTTTTGTGATCTTGTGATCCTCTAAACTTCCCCTGAATTGTTTAACTTGATAATTCAAAATATATTTTTAAAAGGGCTCATTTTGAAAAGTAAAATAAAAAAGAGGTTAACTCCATCCTTTTTGTCCTTCCAAAGGACAATTCTTGGAGGATGTCATCTGCAGGGAGAGACAGAGTATTGATATTCTCAAATATCTTAGTTTATGAATAATTCTATCAAAAGCCATTTTGTGAATGCACCAGAGGTGGCTTAGTCCCGGTTCGGACTGGTTTGGGTGAACCGGGAGTGGAAATTGGGCCTGGGTTGCCAAACTGGTAGTCACAGCTGGCTGGCCACACCCCCGAACGAGACCACTCCTACACTCACCCTGTCTCGCCTTCACTACGTAGATCCACAGAATTGCCATCTCCTGACTACAAACATTCATGCTACTCTAGCCCCCCACCCCCACTCCACCAGCCAGCATCTCCCGAAGCCACCGCCATTGCATCCCAGCTAGCTTCGCATGCTGGAGAGGGTAGGAGAAGAGGGCGTGGCAGGAGAGGGCAGTGGCAGCAGGAGGAGAGGGAGGCGGGAGGAGAGGTCAGTGGCTGTGGGAGGAGAGGGTGGTGGCAGGAGAGAGCAGTGGGCTCATCTGCAGCCTGGACAAGCCGAGGAACTGCGGGGAGCATCCCACATGTTTAACCTCCCTCTCTGCCAGCTGCAGTCAGGGCCCCACCTGGTCAGCTGGGTAGTTGGCTTGGAAAGCAGCAAGTGAGCGGGAGAATGGGTTGGCAGCCGGGACCGGCCTGGCCTCCAATGCTGCATCCAGCAGAGGCAGTGGAGGCAAGCAGTAATGGAAGTGAGCCCCAGGCTAACATCCCTACCTCCTTTCTCCGAGAGTCGGCTTGGTGGACAGCCAGCCTCCCGTACCACTGCGCCCTTCACTCACCATCCACATGGAGCCCTTGCCAGTGGGGCACCCCTATCTCACCCCTCATGTGCCCCCCCTCCCTTCTGGCTGCAGCCCAGGGTCTGCCTGGTCAGCTGAGCCACCGGCCAGGAAAGTGGTGGGTGAGCAGGTGAGCAGGCAGGTGAGTGGGCAGCCTGGACTGGACTGGCTTCCAACACTCTGTCTTGCAAGGGAGGCGGCAGCAAGAAGTAAGGGAAGTGAGCTGCAGGCTGGGATCTCTGCCTCCTTCCTCTGAGAGCCAGCTTGGGGGACAGCCAGCCTCCCTTGCCACTGCGTCCTTCCCTCGCTGTCCATGTGGAGCCTCTGCCACTGGGGTGCTTCCCATTTCACCCCATACATGCCCCCCTCCATGCTGGCTGCAGCCTGGGCCCCACCTGGTCAGCTGGGGGGGGCAGCTGGGAAAGCAGCGGGCAGGCGGGCAGCTGGCTGGGACAGGCCTGGCCTCCAATGCTCCATCCGGCAGCTGGCAAAACAGAAACGTTTGCCGGTTTTGTGGTGGTGGCTATGTGGGGAGGGGTGTGTGTGTGACTGATTGGGAGTGTGTGTGAGTGACGTCAAGTTAGCCATGTCCACTCAGTCACATGCTCCCCCATCTAGCCACACCCACAGAACCGGTAGTAAAGAAATTTGAAACCCACCCCTGGAATGCACCCACTGAATGTTTTACAGATTAAAAGGTTGACAGAGTTGGAAGGGACCTTGTAGGATATCTAATCTAACCCCCCACCTAAGCAGGAAACCCTACACCATTTCTGAAAAATGGCTGTCCAATTTCTTCTTGCAAGCTTCCAGTGATAAAAATGCTGATGCAACCCCCAATCTCAGGAGGAAATGGAAAACAGGAACCCACGATTTAGTTTCCCTTTTGGAATAAGCTCACAAAGCATTAGGAAAGATTTTTGTTAACAGTAGTACCCACAAAGGAAAGGAAATTTTATATATAATGTAGTTTTATGCTGTTCATACCTGATGAGTAATCAAATTGCTCCTCCATTATGCAAAAGAGTTCAAATCCGTGGATAAGGTGGACCACCTGGAAATGCAAATATTAACAGAAAAGAAACTTCTGATTGATAAAATGGCTGAAACAAACTCTGTTCTTGGGAAACCAAAGTCATTGTTGGTTTGCCATCCACACAAAATAGGTGTAGACTTTCCTACCTTTCAATCTCTCTCTATATATAAATGGCTCTGTGTGTGTGTGTTTGTGTGTGTGTGTGTGTGTGTTCCAGAATACCTCTAGCAATTTCAATCAAACTTAATACACAAATGGCTTACTCTCTGGAAACAAATACTTTGCGGGTAAGACCCCCCTAACACCCCTCGGGGTCTGTATTCTGTTAAGATACAGCCTCTTGTGCCTTAAAATGACTTCTGCCATACTGCCATTAAGTGGCTTCTATTGTACAGTGTAGTGGAGTTGCCATGGTAATGATTTCACAGTTCAAGAAGGCTCCCTCTTGTAAGGGGGAATATCCAACATTAGAAATCATGTCTAATACACCATAAGCATAAGGATAACTAAATAAATACAACCTTTTCTAGGTAGTTTACATAGTCAGCATATTCTCCCCAACAATCTAGGTACTCATTTTAACGACCTCCAGAGGATGAAAGGCTGAGTCAACCTTAAGCCAGTCAGGTTCGAACTGCTGGCAGTGGGCTGAGTTAGCTTGTAATACTGCATTCTATTCCCTTCACCACCATGGCTCTTCAACAGATATTAAGGTTCACTGAAGCCAGGGATGAGAAGACTGGTATCATACCATTGTGCAAAAAAAACCAAACTGTTGTTAAATTGAGTTCCATTATGGGCCAGAGGACCCTGCTGGATTATCTGATCCCATACTAATTTATTACCTGCAAATAATCCTTTTTGAGACCAGGGTAGGACTAGGAGCCCATACTAATGAGCCCTATCCTGGTCTCAAAAAGGGACATTTTGTAGATAATAAATGACCTCAACAAAAACTCTTGTTTGCAGACATACCTGGCGATGATAGGAGGAATCTCCAGATGGAATCAGCTGGTCTCGTTTGGAATCGAAGGAGGAGATCTTTTTCTGATGAATCTGATGAATCCTGTTAGCTTGCACTTGATGGAGTTACTGTCTGAAAGAGTATTTAAGTTGGACCAAGCTGCAAACTTTCTCACATGAATTAAAAGAATTTGTGCAACATACTTTCCTGAATTTGGCAACTTCAATTGTTATTGCGTAAGGTATGCAAAAATAATTATTTAAAATAGGACATCTTAAAGAAGAAGTAACCAAATTTGCCAGACTGAGATTCAGCCTAACAGGAACTTTAGTCTGCTTAGTAAGGCACCATGAAGCGATACATCAGTCTAAGTGCTATTGCTAAATTTCTGGAGTCCAGGCTACTTAAAGGAGGAAAATCTTATGGCCGCAATTGTTAACTGTGACGGCAATTTTCTTTTATTATTTATGAAGTTTCTACGTTGCATATATCACCGTTAAAGTGACTCTGAGGAAACTGCATCGGATGAACCAGCAGAATTTCAATCCCAAGAGGCACCAAACCAGGAATCACCAGAAGCTTCGTGCCAAAAATGGGCACTATCAGAACATCTTCCACCAGAAGATAGTGAAACATGGCATTCAAACCCTGGACCTCAGGGGTTAGAGCAGAGTGTGAATTTTGCAATGGACGGGGCCTCTCACAGCCATTTTCTCTGATTCTCAGTGTCAGCCCTGACACTCTCGGAGGCTCGGGGCTCCCATTCCGCTGGTGGGGAGATTCGTGACTGGGGCATTTCGTGACTTGGATGTCTACTGTGCCACACTTGTTTCCCTGCCATGCCAAGAGCTTGAAGGACCTTCGGATCCTGCAGTGACTTTCATGTGTAACGGCACCAGCGCAGGCATGTCAATGTAAACCAGCATGGTTGGTCACGCCATTGGAGTACTTTGGGTGTATTGCGTGCACGTAGGAGAGGGCGGGGCACAGGAGGGTTTAAATAGTGGAGGGAAGTACGGAATTACAGGTTTGACTTTAATTCACCCGTGTTTGGCAAGTACCAGTACAGGCTTATAAAGATTAAATTTGCCACAAACTACCTCCTTAGTTGTCTTGTTTATTTTCTTTGCCTGAACAGAATCGGACAGTCAGATGGACACACTCTGGGGGGAGGAGGGAGCTTTGGGATGTCAGACTAGATGTCAGCAACGTATTATCCCGTGGGAATCAAGGTCATCCCAACAGGTGCTGGGGGTAGGCTGGAAGAGGCTGCCGAGGAGATGCCAAAGAAATTAAATTAAATTGTATTATTTTTGATGCTTCATTCTAACCACAACGTTTAGGGGATCCTGGCC